GAATCGCGATTTGTTTAGCATCTCAACCGATTTGAATCGTCACATATTTGAATAGATTTTCAACTGGCTCTCAGTTAATCGTTACATCCCTATATATTATATTACATTATATTATATTATATTATATTATGTTTTTAACATCTTTTAAAGATGTTTTGAATTATATTTTATATTTTATATTATAATGATATTATATTATTTTATATTACAAATGTTTTTTTTTTATCTCTTTTGGAGATGTTTTGAATTACATTATAATTATATTTTTTATTGTATTATATTTTATTATATACATTAATTTTAGATTAATGTATCTAAGATTTTAGATACATCGATTTTAAGCATCTTCTGGAGATATGCATGCGCTGTTTTCCGCGTGGACACAAAAACTGGGCCACATGCGAACGGTGTGCGCAGACATCAATGGACTGTACTTTTGACTAAAATTATTTCACATAGACAGTCCGCGAGCCGGAGCGGATCACGGAAGAGGGAACTACACGTTTGACTTAATGGACTTCAAGTAAAGGCCAATAAAGCAGTTTGGTGTTGCTTTGATGACAGCATATCTCTGTAATCAGACAGCAATGTTCCTGATAAAGTAAACGGGTGTTTGACGTTTCCATTGTCGACAGCACTTGAAAATTCTTGAACTGCGTGTGGTGTAATCCGGCTTCCGCCTTATCCAGCTATAGTAATCCCAGCCTTATCTCACCCGCCGTGAGAAAAATCATCACCAGGGTCTTTCTCTAACAGGTTTTTGATGCCTTATCAATGTGACAGGGATTTTAATGAAGAAACCGGTAATTGTTCTAAAATCACAGTAATGGCATACAAAAGACAGGTCATCATTTTTATTTCCTCCACAATCCAGAGAAGAACGGTGAATCACCATATCTGGGTAGTTTGAAGAGCCGACAGGAAAGGGAAATGACTCTGAGAGATCTGTCCCCAGATACATGCTGACATTTCACACTGACGATTATTTGTCTCGTGATTGGCTGCTGGAAGCAATCAACCATCAACTATCCCGCCTCCCACAATGCACATAGAATATGAAAGCATTCTTTGCATAGTGATCCATATGTATGTTTGCGTTTATCTCAGGTACGGTCTCTGGTGGCAAATATAGACTGTGCATTTTAGATGCTAGTGAATCTTACACTTTACTAATAAAGTATTTATGAAATCATAAAAGAACAAAGCAAGAGGGGCAACACCCCAGAGTGCACCTGAAAAACATCACAGCGTTCCCCTCGTCTCTCAAAAGCACAAATACTTTGCGCCACATCCCTTTCAAGCTTTTTTTTTTTTTTTAAAGGTGTTGAATAATTTAAAGCTTGCGATTAAAACCAGGACATGTCTAGTTACACTAAGTAAAAAAAAACTAAGAAATGAAACGCTCTTCACAAGCAAGCAACGCTCTGAACACACAACTATATGGATTGTATGATGAGCTCAAAGTGTTTCTTCTTGCCAAACAGCCACCAATTCGAGATTTGGATGTGTTATATAAACAGAAAGCGGGTGGGTTGAGTGTTTTAGATTATGGGGAACATTAATATTTACATTAATAGAAATAACCGAATGAATTCTTAATGTGGCATGAATGTTGAATGAACAAAAATGGTAACAGTCTCCAGTTTGCCGCCGCCGTATTATGTCCAAAGTCATCATTATGACACATGCACTGAAAGAACACATCTCATTGATAATGAAAGAGGTTAAATTGAAAGACCACCATGTGATCCAAACTCCCACACTGGGTTTTCATTTAGCTTACAAATCGCATAACCGTCACACGGCCAGTCAGATGTAATGTAGTCTTTTGACTGGACCTTTGAATGCAAACTTTGTGAAATCCATTATAGATTTAATCTGTTGATCCTTTTCTATGCCACTCTATGACAACAGCTCTCAGCTCAATATGTGACGGGGATGCCAATCGAGGTCTCTAGGGTAAATCAAGCTCCTGCTTCATGAAACCAGTGGATTCATGCTGATGCCTCATTCTCCTGTTCAGGCTGATCTACGTATGTCAATTCCCACATACTCTTTACTTCATAATGTGCTGTATTAGGCATGTTGAAAGAGCATGAAAAGCTGAAATAACATTATTTTGTGCCATTCAATGTAACTCCAGGCTCTCAAAGAAAATAAAATGCTGCTTTTGTATGACTCATATAATAAAAGAGTATTGGAGATTAGCCAAAGGATTTCACACTTATTATTCATTGGTATTTTCATACACAGTTTATCCTTAAAGGGTCCTGCAAATCAATATCGTCCACTATTTGTAAATGACATGCTGGAGTAGACAGGAAAAGGATAAATGGTCCACAGGTGCAGGCAGTTATAAATCACCGTGTACAAATGACTTCTCGCTCTTCCTTTATCTGCAAGTAGCTTCCAATCAAGACAAATCATCCTGGCACAAAATAATTGCACTTATCCACAGAGATTCATTTTCATTTAAATGCAATTAATCATCTCTTAGGAATCTGCCTCATGTATCATCTGCATGTGTCTTTATACTTGTATTATACTTGTATTCAGCCAATGAACAAAAGTCTGCCACTTCCAGCATGCCATTTTGATCATAAAAATAAATATACATCTGAGTTAAATTTTTGATGTTTGAATCAGTCACCATTACATAACTGATAAGTTTTCTTTTATATTGCATGTTGCTGAAATTTTAGGCTTTTAAAGATGAGCTGAGATCAGGGTAAACCAACATCTTCATATCAGACTTACAAATCAAGAAACTGGAAGGAAATTGTACTGCTCTGTATTGTGATTATAGTAAGAATATAGTGTTGACTTCTGAAATGTAATGTACAGCTGATTACAAATTACATAAATTAATATCGTAAGATAGCAAGATCATATTATTTATTTGGTGTTGTGTGAATAAGTGTTGTTTTGCATTGCATGAAAAAATTATCAAAAATCTTAATCAAAAATTTGTGTAATAATCCTAAATAACAGTCCTTCCATTCTAGACTACTGAACTAGGAAAGTTTGTGGTAGACATATTTTTGGATTTTATTCATTTTTGGAAGGCAAGGACTGCATTTCAGTGATATTTTCCATGTGTCTCCTTGAAAGTTATTTCTGTACGTGGTCAAATGAGGAGGAACGAGATGGCTCCTCTTTCAAAAATCTCATGAAGGTCCACCAAACTTATTTCAACCTCTGGCTCAGGCAGCTCTTTTAAAATGTAGGGACAGGATCAGTAAAAAAATGAATTTAAAGAACCAACTTGATGTTTGTAGTCTGATCACATAATCCAGATTTAGTCCATTACTACTCAACTCAACATTACAACAAAAATGTGGTATCAAAGTCAGTTAAAGCAGAAGTAATGCAGATGTCACCCAGCAGTTCGAATCTACATTCAGTTCAGTTATGAAAGAGTGTTTACACAGGCAATCAATCAATGAGTGCAGCTACTCAATACAGCTGCTCTTCAACAGCATCAAATGAATAAGAGAGCAGAGCAAACCGAGCACACTGTGCATGCATTCATTTACCACAGACCTTCTAGCATCTCGACACAGAAAAACACGTGCGTTCACACATATTCCAACCAATAATTTGTGAACTTTTGCATAGATAAATCTACATAATAGTCTTGTGTTTGTGAGAGGCAAATGAGTTGTAGAATGCACAATACTGGTTTATGCATATTCTCTGCATACAGTACAGTAAATCAGAAATTGTTCAACAGTTTTAACACTTTAAACAAGCAGCATTATGTATTATTTATGCATACATTGGTTGCGTATAGTGTCCCCACCCATTACCAAAACCTCCTTATTCATAAAAATCCCCTTCCAAACAAGTGCAAATATACACGAATGCAAAAAAATCTCTCGTCGATTAGACATGTACCGTTTTCTGTCTGTGTTACAAACGCATGCATTTTTCACTGTATGCTCTATTATCACACGCAACGTTTGAAGATTCTATTAATTGGAGCACTTTTTTTTTTTTCCTTCAGCCGCGCGTGGTCACACCGGACGCCGTTTTTTTTTTTTCTTACCTGCACGAAACTGTGATCTCCACTTTGGTGGCGGGGATGTTCCCCGTCAGCGGGTCGAACTCGTAGACCGAAGCCATGTCCTCGAGTTTGTCCATGATGTCTCCCTCCATGAGCGCACGCGGCTCGGGGCAGTTCCACGGAGCCCCGCGGAGGCTTTCACGGTCCCGCTCGGACCAACCCGGAGTTAACAAGGCCAGGGTATTAATGAAGAGTCCCCCTACGACTCAAGAAACTTGAATGGGGTTAAAGTCGACGGAAAGTCGCTTAAAACTGGTCTGCAGAATCGGGTGGTCAGCTGCGGTTCATCACCAGAGAGAGAAAGATCTCCTCTGCACATCAAGTGCTCTACATGTGCGCTCGTTTAGAGCATCCAGCGCTCTCCAGCCCTACCCTACTATCTTCAACACGCCCATGCGTACTACTGCGCTCTCCGCTACACTACACATAGGCGATATCCTTATAGAGCTGCATGGGGGTTGAACTGAATAAAATCCTGTTGTGCCAAAAGACATCATTTTAATGTATATATGAGAGCAAAAAGATACGGGAGTCTGTGCTTTTACTGGTTTTATCATGGGTGAGGGGTGTTTTGGGGCAAACTGGTAAAATTGGTTTTATGTCTTACTGATTTAATAACTATTATTATAAATATTTTTGAAAAACATCAGCATTAAATCGCACTAAAAAATTAATGAAATAAATTATGTCGTATAGTTGCTATAATGTTTCCAAAGCAACTTGGCACATTAACGCAGAATTCAACTTATGTTTGGTCACAGGTGTGTGTGTGTGTGTGTGTGTGTGTGTGTGTGTGTGTGTGTATAGACTATTTAAAGAAATAGTTCGCCCAAAAATTAAAATTCTGTCATTGATTACTCACCCTCATGTCGTTCCAAACCTGTAAGACCTCGTTCATCTTCGGAACACAAATTAAGATATTTTTGATGAAATGTGAGAGCTCTCAGACCCTGCATAGACAGC